CTCTGCTGCTTCAGTCCCCCTAATTAACACAATTATTTAAATTTCCATTACTCACCTTAATTAATCAACACCCTTCAACTGATCCCCTTAATTACTCATCACACTCAAATAACCCTCTTTACTAATTACTCTCTCTTCGATTACCTACCATAATTGCTACCATCCTTATCAATTATAAAATTAATGACCCCTTCATGACTCACCTTAATTAATCACCACACCTTTCATTAATTACCCCTTCAATTACTCCCTTTTAACTGCCCCATCCCCTCAAGTAGTAATCTCATTAACCCATTATTTAAAGCATCAACTGGTTGTACCATAAATTAATTGTAACACTAATTGTTCCATAATTACCTTAACTAACCACCATGCCTTAATTACCCTTTCACTAATTACCCTTTAATTACCCCCTTTACAGCCCCACACCCTTAAATAGTAATAACTAAGCCATTAATCAAAACATTTTATTACAACACAAATAATAATCATCTCCTCATTACCCTTTAATTAACCACCACTAATGACCCCTTCATTCATTACCCCCCACTGCCCCTCATTAATTGCCCCCTTGATTAATTAAACCCTTATCAAATCATTAATTGCCTCTTAGTCACTTCCCTAATTACCCCCTTGATTAATTACCCACATTAATTGAAGTGTTAATGGGTTAATGAACCAGATGAATGCTGTTGTCAGGCTGATTAATGAGGCTAATGAGGCTCGTTAATTACCCATCTGAGCATGGCCTCGTTGAACTCATTCAGAGTCAGGGTGTTGCCCCGGGAGGACCAATGAGCGCTGGAGGTGGGGCGAGGGGCCAGCGGAGGCCACGCCCACCCAGGCAGGCCCCGCCCCCTGCTGGGGTGGGAGGGGCCCGAGGCGGGAAGGGGAGGAGGAGCCTTAATGGGAGGGACTGGGAGACACTGGGGTGGGGGCACTGGGTCTTACTGGGAGGTACTGGGATGTGCTGGGAGGTGCTGCTCGGAGAGGGGTGGGGGG